AAAGTAGGTAATAATGCTTTAGCATCAAAGAGGAACCCTCAATCATTATCAAAGATAAACGCATTTAGCAATGCCACCACTTTCTTTGTTTTCTTCTTTTTTTAAGTGATCTGTTAACAGATGTTGGCATCTGCTCCTAAAGCGTCACTGGGTGATCCAAATCATTACTAATTTGCTCGGTACAAAAGGCCGACTGCCGTTTGCAGGCAATATTTTGAGAGGCGGTGATGGCTGATGCACCAGAGCACTGCACGGTCCCGTGCTAGCCCGAAGGCCCGAGCCCGGCCCGGCCCGGGGCCCGCCTCGGGCCGTGCTTGGGCAGTCGTGTGCCGCTAGCTCTAAATTGTTAATATCAATAGGTGTCCTTATTGATCTTTTAGGTTCAATTAAAACAAACCAGCGAAGTGCAAAATCACTACAGCGCCGTTAACAAAAAGAAAAAGGCGTCTTGCACTTGTAAAGCCCTCAAGAGGATAAAAGAAAACGTACGGACTCCACGGCACAGTGAAGGAGTGCGCGCTTTATCCTTAAACAGTTTTTAGGTTTAAGCCTGCAAATGCTTTGTCGGGATCTGGCCGTGCAAGGGCTTGTCTGAAAATTCTCTCGGGCCCGGGCCATGTTTCTACCGGGCAGTGTCGGGCTGCGCCTAGAAATTCTGACCCGTGCAGTGCTCTGTGCCGCACGGCTCTTCGATCTTAAGCGAGCTGAAACATTTATGTTGTGGTTCTCGAAATGTTCGTGCAGTTGTTTAAACTCTTAATAGATCTTTTGTACATGAATACAGATATTATTACTAATATTATTATTATTACTACTTTGGTTATAATTACACCACTGCACGCAAACCAGATAATAAAAGAAAAACAATTTTAAATTCCCGTCATAGATTTCTTCTTTTTTTTTTTTCATTTTGTTGCATATTGGTATATACCGATCCTTGGACCATGAGCCGTTTAATTATCAGTTGAAATAAAAAAAATGTTTCAATATCATTTCAAAGCTACCTGGAGCGAAAGTTAGTCTGTTTCTTGCACAGGTGCTGCCATGATGCCAGAACGCCGAGCTCTTATTAACTGATTGAAAAAAAGAATAGTGGGCAGATCTTAAGGCATTTAGTGTTTATGTCTACCCACTATCCTCTCAATGAAAGCCAATCAGAGCTAGGCGTTGTTCTGACGTCGCCGCAACTGCTGCGCTAGAAGCAGAAAACTTGCTTTCCGTATAAGCACAGACTTAATCTCACGAGGATTAACCGGTAAGAGTTTGTCCTTGTCACTACCGAGCACCTCCATTTAACAGCGGACCTCGATACCGAGGCTACAATATACCAGGGACCCGGTGTTCGGGCTTAGTATCCTAATGTAGCATATCGAATACTAATGGATAGTTTTATGTCTCAAATTATTCTTCGCAGCCATCTCTTTCGCCAAATTCGCAGACGCGCTTTTTTCAGAGGCTCTGCTAACGCTCACCCATTCGTAGGAGAAGGTCGTAGTTTTCCTTGAGATTGGTCATTCTTGACTTCACGTAGAATGACATGGCGTTCCATTCTTCGTCCGAGAAATATTCTCGGATGAGGCTGAAACGAGGCAGGTCTTCGGAAGACATTTTCGTGGAGAGGCAGTCGAGTGGCGGTCGCACGGCGGGATTCCCAAGAGACGCTCAACTGTCGTCTGCTAAACTTCCCGCGCTTGCCGCCACTTTTTTTGATCAGCCAACAGAGCGTGATACTGCGCCGCGGAAAACTTAATAACGATAACTTTTTATTAACGGTTTTCGCATTTCGTTGCTTGTAAATTCTTGGTTACACATTTATGGTTACATTTCTCGAACCTTTTTTCGCTCTCATCAGATGGCAGGGCAAGCGGAACCGGAAATCGTACCGGAAATCAATTTGAAATCGCAGGCGGCAACGTTCGGCCAGTTCGGCGTCCCGGAGAAACTTGTGTCCGTTGATTCATCGTTTCTAACGTGAGTTTTGAAATCAATCCCGTTTCTTTTACAACGTGTTGCTGTTCCCTTCCTGAATTATTTGCCGGATCAAGGAGCATCATTCCAGCTCGGTTGATCAGATTCGAGGGTAACCATCGTAAAATAGCTTTTGGATTGTTTTTATGTTAACGCTGATCTATCGATCTCCGCTGGAAACGTTTCGGATCCCGCATTTGACATTTCCCAGCGTTCATTTCTGACAGAACTGAAATCGACCAGTTTGCAAACTGCTCGATTTAAGTTCTGTGAGAAAAAAAGAGAATGCCTTCGACAGACCCTGAAAATGTAGGCGTCCGATTGCGAGTGTAGTTTAACGCGTTGTTGTCGGGAACTGTGGAACAGTTGTCAGGAACTGTGGAAAGAACAGTAAAGCAGGGCAAGACGTAAGTATCTGAGCATGCACAGCGATTTCAGGCACCGAAAAAAGAAACCATGAGCACGTTTGCTACATTCTTTTCTGTGCCGGTTTCTTCACAACAAAGTTAGTAGTTTGCTTTACTTCACGGCAATCTGGTGTATATATTAGTAATTTGTATATTTCTTTTTAATTTTCTATCAATTAATACCACATAAGCAACGCTTTTTTTTACCTCATTATTTCTTTTTTAGGTCGTCAATTTCGTTGGAGTCCCTGCTGAGTTGTCTGCACTCCCAAGTGGTCTCTGTGTTTCCGTGTGAGGGGGGGAGGAGGAGGAGGAGGAGGAGGAGGAGGAGTACTGTCGATTTGAATTTTACAGCTTATCCTCCAGCCCCCCCCCCCCCCCCCCCCCCCCTCTCTTGGGGTTCAAATAAACACCATTTCCATTATTATTCAATAAACTTACCGGCCTTCGAATATATACACGTTCACACAAAAAAACAAAAAAAAACAAAAAAAAACAGGCAGAACAACAACCACAATTCGACGTTAAGATCCCGCCTTCGAGCATATGGAGGCGTCCATGGGCACAGAACCATTAAAAACAAACAAATATATTTATTTACAAACTCTTTGGCGAGGCTCTTCCTTCCGGGTCGACCTGTGAAATTACAAACGGACCCCCAGCGATTTCCCTACACACCCTCTAAAGGGTGTGTAGGGAAATCTTTTTTTTTTTTCTGAAGGCCCCTCCTTGATTCGCAACAACGTCTCTATTCTCAATGCTCCCCCAACCCCCACCCCCTAAAAATCTTAGACACACCCCTAATTTCAATTCCTAGGGAAACCCCTGGCAACCCCATCCCCCAAAGTGTAAGGTTGGTCTGCCTCTGAGGAGCGGCGACACTTTGAGGAACGGCGAAACCAGTAAAAGTCGTTGCAGGGCCCCTTTAAAGGGGCCCTGCAACCACTTTTTGACTGGTTTCTAATTTGCACCGAACCTGAGTGCACTCAACGCAGTAACTTAATGAAACTTTTCTTTTCTCTGATTATCGCCTTATTTTAAAAGTTATAGGCAAATAAGAATTAAAAAAACAAGCAAACATCCAGCGCTCATGGCCGCCGCACTCCGAGTCGACGGCTCGAGAGGGCGCCACTAAAGCACGTGTTAGATAGGCTGTATGAAGCGGGCGGCCAGGGCGGTTCGCATCGCATTTGCTGCGCGATTAAAGACTATTTCAGCATGACACTTCATTGGCCACCAACGACAGCAAGCTCGGGCTAAAGATCCGTTCAGAACGGGAGCCACTTCGCGCTGCCATACCGCCCAACGGCCAAATCGCCAGGAGGGACCGCGCGGAAGGCCTTCGGAACACTCGGAACCGGTTGCATCCTCGAGCCGGTATACGACCGCAGTGCCACTGCGTCCATCAGAAACCTTTCTACGCTCCCCGTTCGTCGGCGCCTCATCCCAGTAGCCCTTTCTAGCAAGGAGGTTAGAAGTACTAGGAGGGTGCACGTTGCAATATTGGTGAAGCCTAGTCATAAAAAGTTTAAACGATTTTGTGCCCAGCGTGACCGCAGATCTCTCTGGCGATTGGTGCGCGTGACTTGTCACGTGTGAGATGGATGGTTGATTGTAGAAGGGCTCCTTGCAGGCTTGCGCGCGCTCCGTCCGGTAGGTTTTATCAGAGCGAAGGCTAGGCTGTGGTGTATTCTAGTACCCCATAGCAAGACGAAGGCTAGCTACGGTCACGTGATGTGGTCACGTTGGCATGGTAAGTGAGGAGAGTAAGGAGGAAATTGAGAAAGAGGCGAGGCGTCAAGGGAGCATGGCTTGCGAAAGCTACGCGGCCGACGTCATGCCCTCTCCTACCCTTCTATTCTCCATGCTTTCTAGTATGTGCCGTTTTTTCCACCGCTTGGTGGCGGGTATGTCGACGACTCTACTGTAAAGGGCTTCACCCTATGCCTACCGAAGACAACATAGATTTAATAAAGTCATTGGGTTTTAGAGACAGCGAAGGGAGAGTGGATTTCAAGACTGCAGAGATTACCAAGCAAAGATTAAGTGAATGGTGGCAGAAATCGAGAGAAAACTAGGTATTTTCTTATCCACTGATGGCAAGGGGGTTTCATAGCCTCACTTTCTTTGCACTGCGGAGTGAATATAGATTTCACATTTAAATATTCTAAGCTTAAATGGTAAAACAAAATGGCTAGGTGGCGTAAGCTACCGCCCGATCCAAAGGGCTCAGCCGTATTCATCCATCCATCCATCCATCCATTTCTTCTTTCCGTACTTTATAAACTGCATTCGTTTCTTTTCTGATATAAAATACTGAACAAAAACTACTTTCATACATAATTGAAACAGTTTGCGACACTTATATTTTGTATCTCGACTAAAAAAAAAAAAAAAAAAAGCTTTTAGCGGCTCTGACCAGTAGTAAGCCCAGGACGAAAAACGTCACCATTTCGTGCGCTTTCGGCAACGCGGGTCGCCCTCGTAGGTGGAGGAGGTTTCCGAGTCGTCCGGTTGAAATATGACGCACTGATATTTAGTTACTCTCTCCGTGCCCGCTGGGTTGCCCAAACCCCAAGAGGCGTGGAAACTGCAAAAAAGATTGACGCTTAAATATGATTGCAGGGCCCCTTTAAGCTGGGACTGCAGCTGAGGCTAGAAACGCGACAGAACGGGACCTCGGCTTTAAAACATTCTTCCACAGTACACGCGCATGCGCTTGAAACTCACATTTCAAAGTAGGAAGCGCAGCTAGCTCGCGGTTCTAGCTCTGGCTGCAGTCTCGGCCTAAAGGCGAACGGAGTATCGACACTGGCAGGGTGAGAACGGCAGAGTATCTTCCGGATGCCTGGCGTCCAGCGTGCAATCGTTTCCTCCTGTCGTACTTTGGCTGTGTGTGCACGTTCGTGGCCCACGAGATGCCAAAGAGCTCTAGAAGATATAAAGCTAGCATTCAAGGCAGGGCAACTGGAAGATCTCCCTGCCATTCTCATGCTGTCAGTGACCATAGTTCTGCATTTTTATGCAGAAAAAAGATTGTTTTCGAGAAGACACTGCGTACACGAGTACATATTGGGCACCTGCTCTATGCTAGAAAATGCGAGGAAAACTTGTATAAATGGCTTGCATCGATATCGCACCAGCTGCTATGGGGGTGGTCAGCTAACTGCCGAGCATGTATAAGCAATGCACCTCCTCGTTTGTTTTTCTCCTGAACACATAGGAATGACCACGGGCATGCTGGGATGACGTTATGTGCAGGCCATGTGCAACCACAGTATGAACATGGTAAAAGAAATATCTAAATCAAAATAAGCATTAAGGAAATTCACTGAATCGCATCTCTGACAAACAACGGAGTGGGAGACCAGTTTACCAGTCGAGGGAAGCTTCAAATAAAAAAAAACAACAATACTTGCCACCGACTATGCGCAAGGCAACAGAAACATTTGTAACAACTGACATAAAAACTAAACGGAAGATGACTCCCACGCACTTGGCCAAGGAAGACAAGAAAGTGTTGAAATCACGCCGGACCTCCTTTTATTTGCGCTATTTCTAATATGAATCTCCTTTCCTCGCATCCAAATCGCCGTGAGATCCATTTTGCATGGATGCAACAACTACAGGAACCAATATCTTGACTACTCTTTCTACTTGTCCGTTTTTCTGTGGGTTGCAGGCACCCTTGCACGAGTGTTTTCTTTAAGCCATCCATGCACCACTCTTCCTCGTCGTCAGTCCTTGGGAAGCCAGCCTTTACCCATCAGCCGTCTGAAGGGTCTCCCAACGGTTCTGCAACGAGGGAGAGAGACAGCAGTTATACAACAGCTCCTCTTTCAGGTTCATCTCTCCCGGGCTCATACAACCTATTTAGACTGCACTGTTGGCAAAACTATTCCTGTGCTCCATCTGTAGCTCGAGCTGCTGCCATTGGGCGCGTTCAGTAGCGGCCCCGGAGTCAAGGAGTCACTGACTCCTTCCACTGGACGGCCCAAAGTCACTTCCGGTGCACGTAACTCCGGGGCTTCGGAGTCAAGCTCCGAAGCACCGAGTCCGGAGACGGTGCACGTAGAGTCAAAGGAGCTAAAATGACGTAATTTCCTGACTGGTGACGATTTCCGGCGCTAAAAGAGGAAAAAACAAACAATATGGCGGGATAAGCTGCTTCGGTTCTGTCGCTGGTGCCCGGTTTGCTCGCTTTTGTTAATGAAAAGTGCTCAAGGTAAGACGAATAACTCGTTCGAATATCTTTTTCAGGTAAGGCTCTTTCGGAAAATGCATTGGGCCGTATTTTGTTTGGTTTGAATATGCTAATAAACAACGCAAACGTTCATTTGACGCCGTGTCTTGATCGCCGTTGCACGGAAACTCGGTAATATTGACGATAGTCCTGTCCGCGCTCAACAGAGCAAAACAGGGTATGAACGCGACTTTGGAAGCCGGTTGGACACTCGCGCAGAGCATGATACCGATTAATGTTTTGTTTGCGTAGCTAAATCGGGGTGCACGTTGGCTGAGGCTCGCTTCGGCCGACAAAACCTTGATCGCCGAGCGCGGCCGAACTTCCCGTGTGTATACGAATACATTTTATAGGAAGTTCGTTACGAAGGGCAGAACAAACTTATGGCCGTATAAAGGTTTCGCAACCGGCGGGGTAGATTCGCTGAGCTTTGTATTTTGCGTGTGTTGACGACGATTTTCGTCGGCTTTTATAACAGTAGCTGCCTTTGCACCGCCAAGCGAAGGGCTCGATCGCGTTGCATCGCTTCGAACAGCACCGCTGATGTGTACAATCACCCGCTTTTTCTTCAACGACTTTGTAAAGACTTCTTCAACCGGCGTCGTCTGCTTCCAGTTTATTCGGAGACCGTCTGGCACTGGGGAGGAAGCGGAAGTTGCGTAGAAGCAGGTTTGGAGCCGCGGGGTTTTTTTGCCGTTCAGTAGGCGCTCCGATGACTCCGACTCGGGGCACTCCGTTCGGAGGCAAGGGAGGCGCTACTGAACGCGCCCATTGCTTACACGTAAAACACTCGGCGCTTTATATTCCTCTTGACCACGGGACTCGTCAACTGTGCCGCGGCATCACCAGGCACGTCACCGGGGTCGACATGGGATCTCCCCGTCACCTCCGAACTCGGCAGACGGGAGCGTAGTTAACCACAATCTGTTCTTGCGTGCCACAGAGTCGCCCTTTGGCGAGGAAATATGCCCTTCCGCTGACCCATGTCTGTTCTGGCGTTCTCGCGTGCATGCGACACGGTCGCTCTGCGGCTTGCGTCTGGCCGAAATACTTGCGCTGCAAACACCTTTTAACGTCGGCCCGTACCTAGGTCTCCTAACGTAGCGACCGTACACCCTTCAGGTTGTTTGTTGTTTTTATCTATTTAGGCCTGACTCGAAACATTCACACAGCATCCGAAGATCCTGCCGCTTGGTTCGTTGCCTAAGAACAAAGTCGTGACGAAATTATATATTCCGACAAGCATACGAAGGTGCTCTCAACGACGCTACACACAAAAACTGCTCCCCGCCGCAATCAACGTTTCATATTTTTACGGTTATTTCGCACGTTTTGCAGAGCTCAGACGTCCCACTGTTCTCACCTGTTGCAAAGCAAGTGGCAACCAAAATTAAAACACTGCAATGCGACGCAGGTCGTGCGTTAAGCTACGAGGTTATCGGGCCATGGGGGAGCTCACGCACAGCTCAGGCTGACCTGTGGCCCTGTCGGCTCTGCCACTCACTACTTTCACGCAGCTGCTTTGGCGGTGAAGCCTCATCAGTCAACAAAATAGGTAACAAAGCAACAAGGGACTTGCCCAGCAGTTTGCCTATGTGAAAAATGGAAATGACTCGAGTGAGGAAACTATGCCGGCCCTTATCTGGAAACAATTATCGTAGGAGACATAAACGCCTGCAACGGCAGGAAGATGTTGGAGTTTTTCAATGTCCTTGATCTGTAAGCCCAAGTAAAATGCAATGCGAAAATAATGTGGGAAAGAAACAGCCAACGTCCCACAAGCTGTATAACAGGTTGGGAGATGTGGAAATAGACAAGGAAGGTACAAAGAGCCTAGGAAGTGACCGCAAGAAATTAAGATTAAATTTGGCACATCAGAATCAGAACAGGCTCAGAAACAAAACGAGCAAATCGAGCCAAAATGAAGCTAAACTGCACGAAGTCCAAAGTATTTAGAACTTAGTGGCCGAACAACCCGAAATTAAGGGAAAAAGTTTGGGGGAATCCGGAGGTAATCAGTGCGCTGAACGACATTTCATCAACATCAGTAACGCCAGAAGTATACTTTCAGGAAGAGGGCTGAAGACAAGTTCTTTTTTTTATTGTTTATGTGCTAAATATTTCTGCAGATATTAAAACCCGAGTTTTGTTAGAGAGCGAACACTATCATCGTGTGTCCCATTTTGCCTTTCACTGTGTCGTGTGTCGGGCGCCTGGCGTCTTTATTTTAAGCATTCTTAAAGGGGGGGGGGGGGGCCGAGCCCCCACATAAGAATACTTCGGGGTCTGTTTGCCCCCCACTCGGTCGTCGACATGCCCCGCAACGTTTCGTTGAAAGCGGCTTTCAGTGCACATACACTCGACCACTGGCATCCAAATGATAGCTTAGCTTGCTGAACCCTTGACAGTTCCGACAAGGCCTGGTGCAAGCTTGTGTCCAAGACAACATCACATTTTTCCCCGAGCGACGCAAAGAAAGAAGCGGCTGTACATAGCACTGTCTGTTTGAAAGCCTCAGATCAGGGCTCACAGATTTGTTTGCTTTATTGAAGCTACCCAGGTATACTTTTAGCAAAGAAAATGAAGCGAGTAATCCCATCCAAGCTCTCAACGAAACTTTGCCAGAGCACGTGTCCACGAAATGTGTTTCAACAAAATGCTACAGACCCACGAGGATGCAGTACTTGTAATTTTTAAAAGAAAATGATAAAAATACCGAATTGAGTATTCCCTACCTTCATTTAATGCACAATTGGCAATCAGAAAACAGCATACCCTGGTCCGACAACAATGGAGTGAGGAAACGAGGAGCTTGATTACTTAAGAAGGAGCAACAGAAATTTCTCAGTTTTAAGCACGTCTGCCGATGTGCACTCGAGGCGATGGTTCTGCAGTCTTAACGGCAGTGCTTATAATATCCGAACTAGGCAAACCAGCAGCACTCAGTCTAGTTTGCCTTTACGCCATTCTGTCCGTTCACCCTTTTTATTTCCAACATTGCTAAACAATTAACTTTTCTGGTCGGTCACCCAAAGTTGTACGTCACAAAAGCCACCTGGATAAAAAAAACAATTCCAGCGGGACATGAAACTTGCTCACCTCCCCCCAAAAATACTATGGACTGGCGCCAGAGGACTCTGCACGAGCATCGATACAACCCAGCATTGGGGGAGAGATTATCCAGCAGATGTTACCATCTTGTGCAGAGTACTCTGAGCAAGACATTTAGCGTGTCATTGTTAATAATAAAAATACCTCACCATGCGTTTTCTTTTTTAAATTGTCACATTAGGATCTGAACGTTTTTAGCATATGGCCATACCAAATATCACATGAGGTTGCAGCAATCGAGTTGCCCGCAATGTTTAATTCATTTCCCACCGACTACTTCGGCATGCATGGCGACATTGGGCGCAGGGACGGAGCCAAAAACGGCGAGTCGTGCACCGATTTGTCTCCTCCATTTTTCGTTTGGGTCCTTTTCCAACGACGTTACTCCGCTTCTCGCCGCCCTCGGCCATGCACAGGGTTGTTCCTCGCGCTCGCTAGTACTCCTAATTTACTCTGTGCTGCATCTTGGCCAAATAGTCCCTCTTGACTTCACGCATATCGTCCTCAAAGCGCAAAGAGCGCAATCACCATCTGGCAGCTTTCATCTTGCTCCGCCATACCCCGCACTGCTCGCTCGCCTTTATTCTCAAGTTCTCTCCGCGAGGCCACAAGGCGGGTCAACGTGGGATGCGGGATTGCAATAGTCACACGTTTGCTTTAGATCCTCAGATGCAGTGACTCCAGGAGAGCCAAGTTCGACCAATTACCACGAAAGCCAATCATGGCAACTCTCGTGGAGCGTGATTGAAAAATGATTGCAGCGCCCCTGGCGAGCTCAGAGTCTCCGCTAGCAGACGAGTCCTCCACAACGCATTGGTTTTGCCTTTCTCCGTGCGAGGTGACCAAGGAAAACAAAATTGTCACGGGTATTCGCTGCTTTAAATGTTAAAATATAGGTGCCACCTCATGAGTGAAAGACATTTCCTTTGCGTGGAAATGATGTTAGAGCTTTCAAGGGTCAATTTTGGGGCCCTCCTGATGAAAACATCTCTGTGACATCTTATGTAGCCAGGCAAAACACCAATGTACCTTCACGCTGTTTTTTAAAAAAGGGCAATGTACGAAAATGCCAGAACATAGCAGCGGTTCAACTTTACCGTTCTTATCAATCAATTTGTTTTGTTGTTGCAATTCTTATTTCTCATTTATATCTTGCTTATAACGTTTTGCTGAATAGGTGAGCTGGCTAATCCCACTAAGAGCGTCTCTGTAAGAAGAAGCAAAAGGCAATTTTGAACCATGTACGTTATTGCGATGTCAGTACGCTCTGGAAGAAGTCGATCGTGCACATGCAAACCTGACGCTATTACGACGAGTTGCCTTTTTTCTGCGGCATTGCGCTTTCGTAAAAATTTCCATGTGTTCTCAACGGCAAGTCTCAACGCTTACGCAGGGTCTTAAAAAACTTCTTCGGCAAATGACGACGAACGAGTAGATAATGTGTCTTGAGCACGCTGCTGCCAGCCGCTGCAAAGCTAGCAAAACAACAATTTGCTTTTGATCAAGATGGCCGTCCGGTGGCTTCAATCGCGCTGCAGCGAGCGAGCGGGCAAGCGCGATCCAGCAATTGTCATAAAAACCAGTGCCAGGAACAGATGCTTATAGCCAATAATAGTGCATTGAAGCCAACCAGGTCGAGGAAAGATGCCTAGAGCCAGTAATATCCAGTTGAAGTCATTCAAATTTATGCACACTCTAATTGCAGAAATTGTCCAATCGTCCCTGACAGCCATGCATAGCCATTTCAAGCCGATTTGGCCAAGAACAGCGCATAGCCAATAGTAGCCACTTGACTCCATTCATATTCAAAATGTCATACCATGAAGCAAGGCAGATCTTCAGAACAGATTTTCTTTCAGACGCAGTCAAGTTGCAGTTGCAGGGCGGGATGCCGAAGTGACGCTGTGGTAATATTTCTCGCAGGGCGGCTTGGTCTCTTTCCAGTTGGTCAAACTGCACACGCTTGCCAGCTTGAATCTGCAGGAGAAGACAACTTTTTTTAACACTGACAAGGCGTGAAATGGAATTTATCAGGCCAGAGCTAGATAAAGAAAAATCATAAACATGGGCAGTCTACAGTGACTCAATCCTTATCGATGCTCCCGTTCGTAACTTCCTCTCTTTTAGCCCTCCCCCGTTCTGGTCAAGGTGTGCATTTCTCGTACCAGGAAATAAACATTGGTTGTTTTTAAATTAGAGAGTGGGGTTGTCAGGGAAAGTCCTCTATGTTCTTATTATTTCTCCTGCCAACCCCATGTATTTTACGTTCAGTTTCCTGTATTAGACTGAACGGTATTCGCCGTAAGCAGTGTGACCCGTACTTTAGGGTTTGTCGTTGTTGCTGCTGAGTACAAAGTTTGACTTCACAGTGGACTTCGATACGGAAGCTACAGTTTACCAGGGACCCAGTGTTTAGGCATATTACCCTAATGTTGTATATATTGAATACTAATAAACACCTTTCTGTCCCAAATTTTTCTTTGCAGCCATTCCTTTCTATGAATTCGCAGACGCGCTTTTTTCAGAGGCTCTGCCAACGCTCACCCATTCCTAGGAGAAGATCGTAGTTTTCCTTGAGATTGGTCATCCTTGACTTCACGTAGAATGACATGGCGCTCCATTCCTCATCCGAGAAGTATTCTCGGATGAGGCTGAAGCGAGGCAGGTCTTCAGAGGACATATTCGCTGGGGCGCAGTCGAGCCACGCCAGGGTTGCAGGGCGGGAGCTTGGTCTCTTTCCAGTTGGTCAAACTGCACACAGTTGCCAGCCTGAATCTGCAGGAGAAGACGACATTTCTTAGCCCTGACAAGACGTGAAATGGAATTTATCAGGTCAGAACTAGAAAAAGAAAAATCATAAACACGGGTAGTCTACGGTGACTAAATCCTTATCGGCACTCCCCTTTGTAACGTCCTCTCCTTCAACCCTCCCCCATTCTCGTGAATGTGTGAATTTCTCATGCCTGCAAATGAACATTCGTTGTTTCTAAATTAAAGAGTGTGGTTGTCTGGGAAAGTCCTCTTTGCTTTTATTCTTTTTATCTTAAGTACTTTTGTGGGGTTCCCAAGAAACAATGAGCCCCCCCTCCCCTCCTGCTCCGGTGCAAGGTTTCAGAGCGCACAGCAAAAGATGGATAGTCATGTCAAGCACCGTCATGTCATGTCAAGTGCAAACATAGAACGTTAGTTTTCTGGCCTGCATTTCCTGAGTCGCAAGGAACGTGCTCCGATGGCTGACAAATCTCTCACAATGTATCTGTTAATTTTTTTTTCAACAAGTTGAATTAATAATTTTGAGCTCCTGTTATATCCACATTTTGGTGCATTCATTACTCGTCTAAAGTGTCTGGTATGTGCTCAATAAAGTTGTGTAATGTCCGAAGCGTTATAAATAGCGATATCTTCTCCAGTAATTATACAGTTGCATTACAACACAAGCCCTACAAACACCGATTTCTCTCCGGCATTAAAATTAGACAACGAAAAAAAACGATTAAAGGGCAGCTCCGCCGTCAATTTGAGCGTTTTTATCAAAACATATTTTCGGAAAGGGTACTAAAAGTTTAGCCTATAGCAGCGGTTAAATCATTAAAAAACTGTTTACGTAATTTATAATCGTTAAAATACGCTGAAACCGATACCGAAACTAACTTGCCACTCGACTGGTCCGCCATTTTGACGTGACGTCACATATGGTATAAACACTCGCACGTGTGCAGTTTGAGCCAGGCCAGCCTGGCAGCAGGTGACTGTTTTGTGTTCGTGCCGCAGATAAAAATGGACTCCTTAGGCTCGTCCGAATCGAGCAAATATGAGGATATGCTGTTAGATGTTGAGGACGATGACGATAACCCGTTCTCATACGATCCGCCGGCATCGCCTCCGAGAAAACCACCAGCGGCGGCTGCATTCGTGATCCGCCGCCATGTGGACCCAGATGCCGCTTCCGAAGCGGAATGGTAAGGCAGCTTTTGTTGCTAGCACGCCAATAAAAACTGATCGAAGTTATGCCTTTTAATTGGAGGCACTTTTTGTTATATCTTGGGGTCTGACAATAGACGGTTTTAGTAGACCGTGTTTTCAAGCGACGCTTCCACACACAACACCAATTTCCTCCAGTCGCCATTACGCGCTCTTACATAACTGTATAAACCGACAACATAAGCAAAAAGCAGACAAAGCAAGCACCCTGACCAACATGTGACGTCACGGCAACGTCAGCGCCATCATGGCAGCCTCCGTGTGCCGCTCTTGCTCAGTGTTGCCAGTAGGGCTGCAGCAAGTGATTTGGGTGTGTACATGTAAATTTCAAAATTCATTTTCTTCAAAAAAAATTAATATTTTTCCGATATATTTTGTACACATGCTCAGGAAGGGCATACAAATACATGGTGAAAATTTTATAGAAATCGGTGACCATCAAAATTACGGCGGAGATGCCCTTTAAAAGAGTAAAAAGAAACAACAAATAACTTCCTAATTTGAAGAAAAATAAATGCCGAAAACACGAAACTTAATTCATAAGAAGACTAAGAGACTCTACTGTCATCTGCAATGAATAAGCTGATTTGGTGCAACAAACCCCGTCACTTGGAGATCTGCAGCACTTTAAACAAATATTTCATTGAACCTCTCATAAAGAATGCACAGCCTGGTCTCCGAACGCTTTCTTTGATTGACTGGTAATGTTTTGTTTTTCTTTCTCACAAACTAGTTTATGTATAATATCATATGTTTTCCTGGTGTTTGTACCGTGATGCTCCAAATGAGCAACATAGTGTTTTTTTTTTTTTTAAATGCAAGAGCATTAGCTATTCCATAAAGCGGAGCCGGCGGCGTCTGTAACTGTGAAAAAAACGCAAAAGAAATTTCCATTCTCCCATTGGCTGAGCAAAACAGCTCCTAGATAGCCATTGGCGGCTGCTTCACTAGAGCGCGCGTTTAGCCACAGGCCGCCACTTCGGCAGTAGCAAAACGTGGCCGTCCACGCCAATGAACCTCAGACGAACGAAGAGAGTGGAAGAATGACATTCATGCTTTCGCATTCACAACTCATAAGAAGTGCTGAGGTGTCCTTGGAACTTTTCTCGGCAAGTCGCACTTTGGCGGTAACATTATTAAATAGGCTTCTGAACTCTTTTTTTTTTTAAGTGCACTATCCTCAAGATTGGCTTTACATCTATTCCAGAGCGTGTGTTGTTCATGACTCAACTTCATCATTTGAGCGATAAACCACACATTTTTACGTTTTCTTTGCTTTGACCGAATTCGATTCGCACACTTGTTATATAAAATGCCAAATTGTTCAACCGTTTTTATAAGCAGTACAGCAGTGCTTATAAAACTTATATGACTGCAGCACTTTGGTGTCATTAAATCACAGTGATTTAATGGCACCAAAGTGTTGCAGTCATATTAATTAATTTATCCATATTTTTATACAAAATTACAGCATAATATTAACCTGCTCCTCATCTAGGGCACCACCAAGCACAATAAGAGGTATAAAATAGTTGTCTGCCAATTTTTGTTTAATCACCCCTGAGCAAAGTTGAGTTCATCGAGTCTAACAACTATATGTGATCAATGCATGTGCTTGTAATTTGAGTTCCCAAACTCTCTTCCCACAGGAAATTCCCTATGACGCTTTCTATTCCAAAGCCCGACAACAGATTAAGATACTCTGCAACACCGTATTTAGATACATGAATTACATCGATGTTGATATCTTCAGTCGGAACGAGATGACTGTTAATGTTAAATACATTCAGAAAATATTCCAATCCGCCATAGAATAAAAGGAGATTTGAGATCGGTGGCCTATACATAGCACAAGTTACAAATGACGCGGCACGTTTGAAAATTGTAACAACCAACCTCAGCATATACAGGAGGTGGCAACCTGCTCGGAAGCTGCCTCTCGAAACAGGTTGTAAACCCCCGCACTGTCACGCTGAGGCCTTGTCTGTTACAATTTTCAAACATACTGCATTTTGAACTAACATCAGTATTCCACCTCCCCTCTGATTTTCTTTGCATAAGGAAAATGCGTGAAAACCATCAAAAGAAGACAAGTTGCATGCCGTTATGTCAATGTCCGTTTTGTTAGTATTAAAACATACCGGCTATCGAGTCTCCAAAGAAAGCATCATTATACTGGTCCCAATGCTGGGGGAAAGCTCATTTCATTAACGTGCAGTAAGTTTAGGGTACTGTATGTTTTCAAAGGCGTCAATTGGCGGCCACTGCAGTTTTGCTTTAATCTTAAACGAATTAAGATATTTATGTTGGAGTTCTTAGAAGGTCCGTTCCTCGGGCCATGGGCTGTTTAATTACCAGGTCAAATAAAGCGTAGCGGTATTATTGCGGGGTTGTAAACACATATCTCTGAAGGGTTAATCGTTAAGCCGGGGGCATAAAACGACAGTCAAACAGATTTGAACGCAAGTCACCACGAGGTCCGTACATCGAATGCCCTATCCCTTCTTCTGAATACGCAGACGCGCTGGTTTCGGCGACTCTGCTACGCTCAGCCATTTGTAGGAGAACATCGTAGTTCTCCTTGATGTGGGTCATCCTCGATTTCATGTAGACCGGCGAGATGGTCCATTCTACCTCCGAGAAGTATACTCGGCTGAGAATGAAGCGCGGCAAGTATTCCCAAGACATTTTCTCAGCGAGGCAGCCGACTCCCGGTCGCAGAGCGGGATGCCGAAGTGACACTCACCCGACTCACATATGACCATCTGCTTTCCCGCGATTAGCCAACCATAACTTTTTACAAATGTCTTTCGCCTTTCAGTGCGGGTAAATTTTTGGATCAATATTTAGCGTTGCGTAGCGTGACACGTCTCAAACCTTTTCTCCTAAATCACTTTCAAATCGCAGCGGCAACTTTTCGCGTGCATCGCAAACTAGCGGTTGCGTTCTTCATTCGTTCGCCGCGGGAAGTTGCGAGGACTGTTCAAGAGGGGAGGCACTCACTTGATCGAATGACGTTTTAGCGAACGCCCACGTTTCATCGAACGACACTTTAGCGAATAGTCAGACGCCGCGAAGCGGCGTTTTCGGGTGGGCCAAGTGAGTTCATATTTTTTAATGAGTTGCCGTAGACTGTCGCCGCGAAGCGGCGTAAAGCGCAGCGCGACGGATGGGTTAACGCGGGCCCCAGTTATTCGCTAAAACGACCATTCGCTCAAATGTCGCCTTTCGCTAAAATGTCATTCGCTCTTCTGATATGGACCCGTTCAAGAGCAAGTAAAAGAAGGTGCCATTGATGGCGCTACAAGCCACACATAGCCAGCTTACATGGTTTACTTACGGTGTGTTGTTCCAGCTTGTTCTAAAACCTAACCAAAAGCTGTTTTACGTTGATTAAACCTGGATTACGTTACAAAACGAAGACAAAGAGATACTTCAGCAAATCCTTTTAAATACGAGAGAATGTTTTTTTATTGTCAATATTTGATGTTTTATTAATCACAAAAGACAAATCACATACAAAGATGAAGACAAGAAAATATTTATTGCTGGAAGGCAAAATATGGCACTTTCGGAAGAGGTCGGTGTGAAAAAATAGAAGGATCTGCATATGGCTTGAGTTTCTTAAGGCCAGTCTTTGCCAAGATCACTGGCACAAACTGATCGTTCGTGAAGTGATCCTGAAAAATAAATGCAGCATCGCATATTTTTTGTTGTCATTTGTGATGCAGCGATCGCGGAAATCTGTTGCACAAACAAAATCGCGAGGTGCTCGATCTTTGGTGACTTTCCTTTTAGTGACGCAAGATGTACGCGGTAACACTACAACCCTTTTCATTTTAGTGGCACCCTAATCTCTCGCGCATCGTTCTAAACTCGGCCGACTCAATGCAAGCAAGCTAAGAGTGAGCGAGTCAGTTTCTATGCTCAAATACGCGCGAAAAACGTGTCTAAGTCCTTCGTGCCGGTAATATAGTTCCGTGTTTGTCTCGTCTCATGACCGTACTACGCGATCTTCCTCGGCGAGACTGAAAGAGGCAGGTAATACGATTCAGAGTTTGACAATGACTTACCTCGCTAAGTCTCCCTCGGAGGCACTCGAAACTTTTCCGACCGATCCGGTGGAG